AGGAATGAGTATCAGCCCATTCATAGTTTGGGCTGAAGTTTTACAATTACATTCAATTTAACAATAACATTTCTAACAGGAGGGCGTAGGACATAAGATCATTATAATGTTTTATATTATTATTCACTTCGTGTTCAGAAAAAATGGTAGATGTTAAGTGGCACAGGATTACAAGATTTGCTCAATCCTATCAGGTCCATTCAGGCCAGTAACTTCCATCTTTGAAAGTGAGGAACACGAACAGTTTCAGTCAATAATTTTCAAGAATGGCACAGAAGGAAGCATCCTCTTTCATACAGTAATTGGTAACCAGCTGAAACAGCTCCCAAAGCTAAACCAAACTAAAACATTTAGCGCATTAGAAAACTCTATAAACTTTTGGCAAATGTACTTTTGTCTTGTTTGCTTCTAACTAATGTGTTTTCTGTCCAAACTCCTTCAACATTTCTGTGCAAGGGAAGCCTCTATATGCTTATTCCTGCAAAGCAGTGCAAATTTTCTGGCATTTTCAGATACACATATTAAATCCATACACACACGGTGGAATTATGAAGACTTTATTTACATACCTTTTTAACTGAAAAGCTGATGCCCGAGTTATGGATAGCATACCTGAAAAATAAATAAACGTAAGACTGCAGTATGTGAAAAAGAGGAAAGAAATGACAGCAAACACTCATCTGCCAGTCTCTCTGAAACTCCCCAGTGCTCACTCTATGGCAGTACAACAAACTGGAGCCTCCTGTTTCAGGTTACCTGCTAACAACTTCTAGTATCTTTGCATATTCTTCGTTAGGGTTTTTTAAAGCTTTCCTCCTTGTATTTACATTGTAAAAGAGATCTTCGACCTGCAGAGAAGAAGAGCGCACTTAAAAACCATTCTTAAAAATCTTCTCTTGCTATATGATTAATCTAAATCCATCTTCTTAATAGATACTACAACATTTTCTGAGAATATTTTAGTTTATGAAGGATCAGCATTCAATTTATTCCTTACCTGCTTAGGTTCAACTAACAAACTGCAACTCCAGACAAATACAAGTTTTCAAGTATTTTGGTACATCTGTATTTTTACCAATAATAACAACAACTTCACAGCTTGTCAGTGAAAGCTCTACCACTTCTGCTTATTCCCTGAATACAGCATTTTAATGAAGTGCAAACAAATGCTAAAACAGTTGCTGCCATCAGGGCTGACAATGTCATTAAACCAGGAGCTTAAACTGTTAGTTTTCACTATTTATCTAAACAATATGCAAATTATTTTTTGGCTATACCAAGAAAGATGGAAAAAGTCCAGCTTCTTTTTTAAGACACGTTATCCTACAGGCTGACACATGAAGCTCACTGGGTGTATGCTCCATCCAAGGATTATGGAATATTTCTGAGAGTAAAAGACAATGCTGGCCTTAGAAGGAACACCTTAAAAAGAGGATCTTCTAAAATTTACTTGCTGGTCTTTGGAGAGAAACACAAAACAAAACCTTACAACATCATTTGGACAATATTCTATGAGGTGATGCTGTCACATGTCTTCTGTGTAATGCAGTGCAAGCGTAACGACCTGGGAACAGAAAACGGACAACAGAGAGCAGGCACCGAAAACCTACCATGATCTGAGTGCCCTGGTTTCCAGCACAGGGTTTTGGGGGGGCTTTGATTTTTCCATCGCTGTAAGTAGCTCTAGGCAGAACATAAAAATGTGTCAGACATCAAGATTTCCAGTGTGGGCAGACACAGACAGATGGTGACAAAAGAGAGAAGACAAAAGAAATTCCATCATTGTCATGTTCCTCCCAGTGAAGAACATGAGACACTGACAACTGGCTGTAACTCTTTCTTTTTGCTTAAAAATAATTGATAACTTAACAGATTGGCTTGCTTATCTTTAGATTAAGTTTCAGAATCATAGAGTCATAGAACGGCCTAGGGAGGAAGGGACCTTAGAGATCATTTTAATCCAGCCTCCCTGCCGCCAGGGACGTCACCTCTCGACTAGATCAGGCAACACATGGGGACCGAATGGGAATCGAACCCGCGTCCTTGGCGTTGTTAGCGCCACGCTCAACTGACTGAAGAATATTCAAAACTTTTTCAGATAGGATAGGCACCATACAAAAGCAAACTGAGCTATGAGCTTCTGTGCTCAGAGACTTAGGAAATTTGCCAGAAATGCTGACTGTGTATATATATAGTTTTATACTGAAATGGAGAAAAAGACAAAAGTTTACTCTACACTGACTGCTGAAGTAAAATTCCCTTTAAGATTACCCCCGCAATTTTTAAAGGACATCATTTAGCTAAAGCTTATCTTTACAATCTGGAATTAAAAAATCACTCAGTGGATCTCCCCTAGAAACACTTAATTCCTTACCCCACCTTCCTCCTTAAGAGCACTAAAAAGAGAATGAAATATGTCTGTTCGTTATTACATACAGCAGAAGTCACCCGAATAATGGGCTGCATACCTGTATGCGCACTTTGCATCAGCTGTCTTAGTTGTTACCGTAACGTGGGCAACGTGACTGATGCTAGCCAGCGCCTGGAAAAGGAGAAAGCACCTTAGTAAACCTCGCTCTGCAGACCGCTTTAAATGGCATCACTGGATTTTGAAACACCGCTTGAAAGGGATAAATACAAACTCTTACAAGAAAATGGCAGCTCAGTAAAACTTTTAAAAAATTTTAGTACCTACAACAGTGACTCTTATTGAGGACCTTCTGGCTTTTCTAATTGGCTTTGGTATCTCTGACAGTGCAAGCAGCTAACCGTGTAATGTAGCTAAAAGCAATCTGCAAAGCTGTTACAGTTGTGCTCTTTCCTTTCTTTCCCATTAGCAAAAACCAGGCAGAAGGTTTTGGCCTTTCCTTTCTCATTCCTGCATAAGTTCTCCTGACTGCAGGTAATCCTCCAAAGTTAGGTTAGAATAACTCAATGAATGCATCTACACAGCCTGCTGAAACCAGACTCAAGACCAGGCTCCGCTGGCAGTGGAGCTGGTCACAGAATCAATCACAGAATTGTCCGGATTGGAAAAGATCTTTAAGATGATTGAGTCCATTCTTTAACCTAACACTGACAAGTCCTCGACTAACCCATACCCCTAAGCACTGTGTTTACACAACACATGAGGAGAGGACACAAGCAGTCTGTCTCTGAAGTGCGTGCAAGGATCTATGTATCTGTATCTTGTTATCTCTAGGTTCCTGAAGCAGCATTTCAGAAGACAGGCCTTGTCTTACTTCATTCCCCCCCCCTAATAATCTTACTCCAGAAAGCAAGAGGAATAATAGCTCTCCCTAGGCATCCATGTCAATGACAAGAAAAATGTATTTTGAATTATATTCACATAGCACGCTCTCTGAGAAAACAGAAGCTTTTGGAAAGAGTATTGGCGATAAGACAGTGTATAAACACCACTACAGCAGGCCAACAACAAATAAACAGTTTCAAAGCCTTGAAGAAAAGCTTACCTCGCCCCTAAAACCGTAGGTGGAAATACTAGCCAGGTCTTCAAATTTTTGCAATTTACTTGTAGTGAATCTCTCACACACAATGTCCAAATCTTCTTTCTACGTGAAAGGGACAATTAATAGTTGCTTTCCATTAAGTTTTTTTTCCAGATGATCGGAAATCTTTGTAAACTGAAACAAATTTTGCTGTCAGCGTGATTTACTCACCCGGATCCCACAGCCGTTGTCCTGGACCTGGATGAGCTTCAGACCACCTTCCTTAACCACCACCTGGATACTGGTAGATTTAGCATCCAAGCTGCAGAAACCAAGAAAGCGTTCTAGAGAACCGCAATTCTGCACGGCTTTCAGTTAAGCTTTTTCTTACCAGTTTTCTATCATCTCCTTGATGGCGTTGGCCGGTCTCTGGATCACCTCGCCGGCCGCGATGCGGTTCACCACGGCTTCATCCAGCCGA